TGCACTCTGATCTTCAGGCAAGCTTTATTTGTTAGATCATAAACAAAATATCACAGTACATGTTCAATGAAACTACTTTGATTTGGGACATTATTTCTTCTGGTTTTCTAGTGTTATGTGTGGAGAGAAGTTTAGTGCTAGAACTGTAGGGCTGTCAGTAAAGCCAGGAGTCAGGTTAACCAGAAAGAGTCAGTGCTTACTCCCAGAGAGGAAGAAATCAGGCATCTACCACAGTGGCTGGATTTGGAAACTAAAGGTTAACAGAGTTAGCTCTCTGGAGCCTGAGGGTAGAAATCAAAAGGTCAAATGAACCACAGATTTTGAAACTCCCCCAAGAGTTACAGCTGTTAACTGGTCAAACTCTCCAGCCCTAAGCTATACTCCCAGCTAATAGCCATATTGGGGGGTGGGCAACTTCAGGATTCCCTGAATCTTCTCAGCCTTTCCATCTGGGCAGGTGGCTGTGGTAGGATGATCCTTCTCTGGCATTCTGAGTGTTCCAGTAGTCCACAGTCCTACTTGTCATCCTTTTAAGGATGGATTCTTTTGATCTCACAACAAATACAGAATGACCATGTATTGTGTATCTGACCTTAAAAATGAAGATATACTCCTGCCCTCAAGGAACTCATAACTCTGGCCAAGTATTTGCAGTAAAGAATGTTTGGTAAGCTCTAGGGAAATGGGTCTTGACATGAAGTCAAGGTCTAATTTGAGCTCTTTCTCTGTGGAGCAAGGTAAGGCGCTGCTCCTTGTTTATAATACTCAGAATTTTTTAGGAGAATGACAACTGGATTTTCAGCAGGATCTGTGTAACAGAGAGATGTTGCTTTGACCACCACGGCAAGAGAAAGGTTATCTAAAGAAACACTGATGGCTCTCCCTTCCTCCAGCTATTAGACTGCTAAACAAATGAATACACATGCATATTCTCTCTTTCTCTCTCTCTCTCTCTCTCTCTCTCTCTCTCTCTCTCTCTCTCTCTCTCTCTCTCTCTCTCTCTCCCCCCCCTCTTTCATCTTCATGCTAGAGGATGGAAAAGGCTGAAGTCCTGTGTTAGCCAGAGTAGGGACTTGCCTTCTTGTAAGAAATTCCATACAGTTCTTACAATTTAGGGGATAGATAGGTCAGTGATAGACAGGACCACACCTTGACCAGAATTGCTTAGTTACCTATGTCTCTTGCCCTCTGGTTAAACCTAAGTCAGGGCTCCCCACAGGATGAACTTGGGGTTAGGGACATGGGTCACTGACACTTTTTCTCAATATGGCCACATTGAATACATTTCCTTTCTCAGCATCTCACTGTTAAGTGTCCCTTTATTAGTATATGAGGACAGGTGACTGTAGCTTGCTGAGGTAGCCAGGGACTAGATTTTCAGCCAATGGCTCTAGTTCATTGTCATCCCCACCGCTGTTGATGCCACATCCTAGGAGGCTAACTGTCATAGAACATGTAGCACTGGTCTGTGTTTGTTTTGTTTTTCTCTTTCTTTCTTTCTTTTGAGACAGGAACTTACTAGGTAGCTCTGGCTATCCTGGCACTCACTCTGTAGACCAGGCTGGCTTTGAACTCACCAGGATCTGCCTGCCTCTATCTCTCAAGTGCTGGGATTAAAGGTGTGCATGCCCGGTTGGTTCTGGTTATTGACAAAGGTGGAATTGGAAAACTGGATGAACCCAAAGTTTTCAAATAAGTTTATCAAGCAACTCATCAACATAGAGGAAGTCCAACTATGTCTCAGTCACCCCCCAAGCCCACCATCCTCAGCCTGGGGTAAGAAAGAGGGTAATTTAATGAGGGCTATAAAGTTGGTCCAAAGTAACCAGGAGCACACACTGTCCCCCAGAGGTGAGTGTTCTGAAAGCCACCAGCTAAGATGGTTCATCTGGTCACACTGACTTTCTCACAGCAGCTCTCAGCTCTGAAATTAACCTGTCAGCTAAATTGAAGAGGAGAAAAGGCAGAAGGTCTAGGTCACAAACATGCACGCTGACTAGCAGGCCAGTCACTGACGTCAAGCCTGAAGAGAATGGTATTAATCAGGCTGGCCTGGTGAGCAGTTGAGGACAGCTCTCTCCAGCTCTCCCAATCCAGTCCTGGGATCCTTCCACCAACCATGCACCTGCTGCTGGCCACAAACCCTCAACTCTGAGACAGGCACGAATGCAGGCTGCCTTTGATAACATTCAAAGCCTCACTGAACCCTTTGGAGCCCAGGCTTTGTGAAGGAGAAAGGAAAAAAGGCATAGGTGATGTCTGCACCCGACCTCCTCCCATACCCCCACCCCCAAGGTATGCATGTCTTTAATCCCTCCAGAGTAACCTCCCCTAGAATGGTAATTTCCTGGGAATTTAATGAGAATATAGGATTAATGTCCCAAAGAACTCTTGGGGCTGGCTATTAATTCCCCTCAGGAAATACCAGTGGTCTTTAATCAAAATTGCCTAAATTACAAGCTAGTGAAGCATGCCCTTTCAGGACTTAGGGGTCGGCTGTCACTCCAGCTATTTCCGATAGGTGGCGCCCACTTTCATGTAAATAAATCATTCGCATAATTGTGTTTTTCATTTTTTTTCCAGTGAGATGGGGGTGGGGCTGGGGGACACAACAGCGCGTGGAAAGGACTCGGTAAAGGTCCAGATGGGAGCGTTCTATCCAAGGACTGTTTCCATGCCTAACAGACTTCTGAGACTCTGAAGACAGAGTCAGGGACCCCACAACAGTCCTGCTTGTGGTATGCAGCAGCTCATCCTGGGCAGCCAGAGATAAGAAAGGGAGGGTGAGAGTCAGGGCAGGAGAGCCAGCAGGGCCCCTTCCTCTAAGCTTTGGGGAAGGATCAGGGTGTTCATCGGACTTCCCAAAACCCATGCTCTGTAACTGTTGTATTTCAAGACCCTTCCTGTCTTTGATCACAAAACACCAGACTTCTGTTTGTTTCCATGTGGACTTATAAATAACAACCCGGGTCTTTGTTAAACAAAAGCAACTAAAGAGCCTCCCAGCCTTGTCTTGAATCATGTAGTTCTCAGATAAGTGTTCCTATACTCCTAGGAAAGAATAGGGCATATTTTTGTTTGACTTCTGTCACAGACCCTAGAGGTGGCCAATCCTTGCAGATTTCTCAGGCTGCAATCCTGGAGACTCGGATGTAAATGGAGTCAGGGTTTCTTTATTTTGACTGGGAGTCACTGCCTCCCAATTGATTTGGCAGACTAAGTATTTCGATATTTATATCTCACAAAGAGTTTAAGGTCCTGAGATCCAGAAGTTTAAAATAGCCATAATCCTACTGGTGGCTTAAGGATCCCTAAATTAAAAAGTCAAGGATGATAGGGTACCAGATACAGTCTAAGCATTCTGGTTTCATAGTCCATCCAGCAGCACGCTGGTTACTTGAAGGTCTGTGTAAATGAGGGCAAGAGGAGTGGTCTCTTCACCTGCCAGGGTGCCTAGAAAAGCTAAGCACCTGGAAAGGATTGGATTTCACAAACTGATTGGAATAGTTGAAGAATTCTCCAAACCAATCAAAATCTCCGGGACTAAAGGATGCCAGCTATCTAAAACAACTAGCTTAGCCGCACCAAAACAGAGAAATGAACAAAGTATCCGGAAGCATAATCTTATGTGGAGGCATTGGGAGTAAGTACTGCTTCTCCAGGTCATCATCAACTGTACAACTCCCTACCGTTGAAGTGGGTTACTAAGCAACTTCCCAGAGAAACTAGAGGAGAGTCTACCTCTTAGTGGTGTTTGTAAGGGTGCTTTGTGAGTTACCGATCAGCTTTGGGCTTTCTTTGACCTCCACCTCCCCACCTGGAGCACTGATGTTAGGTGTATGCTTCCTTGTATTTAGCTCAGCCTTCTCAACACAAAGCAGCGAGAAAGAGATCGTTATATTCACGTTTATATATGAGAGATCTCATTGCCTAAGCGAGTGAGTGGAAACTCCGAAAGTTTTTTTTCTTATTCTTCTACACTGCCTTGCTTTTCCATTCACTGTGAAATACACTGACTAATTTTTGCTTCCTCCATTCTGCAACTCTTACAATTTCCTTTTACTGGATTCGGTTTTTCCAGAGGCAATATGAGAGAGAGCCAGCTGGACTTTGTTTCCTAGCAATAAGGTCCTGTCCCCCTCCCCTCCCCGCCCCCACGTTTGATCTGCAGGCATTACAGCAATCCACCACTCAGGAAAAAAAAACAAAACCAGGTGAGCCGATCCTCGGCCTCCCTCCCGACACACCTGGATTAGAAATGGCTGCATTGTGTCCGTGTGGGACTTCAGGCTATCTGTAAAATGGGTATAATTACTGCCTACCCGATTGGTAGGTTAATGAAGACAATCACTGTGAACAATGAATGCAAAAGTTCGCAGCACACAGTAGGTGCCTTTCCTTCTCTGGCCTAGAGCTGTGAGAGTTAACTTGCAGGGAAGAAGCAGGGCACTCATTTCAGCCAGAATCGGACTTAGTGAAACCTGAAACTGTGAGAATGGACAGGAAACTGGAGCAGTCCTCGGATCTCTTTCCCACACGACCCTGGGGTGGGGGTGGGGGGAGGGGTAGGATCGATGTCTGATCTAGGGTGGGCAGCCTCTACCCTTCTCTCGCCCTAGCGCCAACACCAGCACCAGCCAGCAGGTCTTCACGACCCCGCCTGCAGCTCTAGGCTGGGGGGGGGGGAGGTGGAGGGGAGGACAAAAAAAACCAAAAAAACAGCCAAGATCCTGAGGGCGCACCGGCTGGCGACAGCTCTGCTGGCCTCCTGGCCTCCAGGCCCGGAGGGTCCGAAGCCTGGCTAGTTGGCCTTTGCGCAGGCTGCCCTCAGGGACCCCGCGGGGGCTGTGGGCGTGGCGAGCGCCCGCCTGCTGAGGCGCCCTGGTGGGGCTGGCCCTTGTGTGTATGTGCGCGCGCGCGCGCGCGGCGGCGGCTGGGAGGGGGGGTGTGGAGCACGCGCAGCCGGGCCCGCGCACCGCGCCTCCTCGTCCTCGCCCGGGGCTGCCCGGCCCCTCCCCTCCCCCGCGAGCTGCGCACCGGCAGCCGGCTGACCCAGCAGCCCGCGCCCTTGTCCGCGCGAGCTGGCGGCGGGCTCCAGTCAGCCGGCGACATGAGCGGCGGCGACGACGTGGTGTGCACCGGCTGGCTGAGGAAATCGCCTCCCGAGAAGAAGTTGAGGCGCTATGTGAGTGAGGCGAGCGGGCGCGGCCCGGCTGGGCGGGCGGGCGGGCGGGCGAGCGGACGGACGAGAGGTGGGGGGGCGTCCCGTGGCCTCTGAGGTGGGGACGCTGAGAGAGGCCGGGAGCGGCCGGCCCGGGGGCCCAGCGGCCTCTGAGGGTGCGAGCGGCGGGGCGCGAGCGGGGCGCTGCACACCTGTCACAGGTGCGCCGCCGAGGGGCGGGGCGCAGGTCGGGGCTGCGGCTCGGCGGCTGCCGCTGCTCGTCGCCGGCCTCCCCGGGAACTCCGCGCGGTGCCGAAGTTTGTAGCGATCGTTCTGGGCGATCCGGAGAGTTGACGCCCGGGACTGGAGGGGCCCGAGTCGCCCCGAGCGGGAGGGTAGGCTGAGGGGCCGCGCGGTCCCGGGCCCACAAAGGGCGAGGCGCCGCGCCCCTCTCCGGGTCCCTTTCTCTGCCCGCCCCTCCCCGGTGGCCGCCGGCTTCCTTCCAGTCCGCGGCCGCTGCATCACCGGTAGCGTCAGCGGCATGTGCAGCGCTTGTATTAAGTGACTCATTTGTTTGTCCCCCTTCTTTCCCATTATTCCATGTGTCTCTCACAGTCCCTTCACTCCCCCCCCCCCCACCGGGTGACACTGCAATTTGGTCCGCTGTAACTGGCCAGAGTTTTGTGTTGTGCAGCCCTTGGTGTCTAGGGTCTGGAGAGATCATGGTTCTGAATTTGCTAGGTGGTGCTAATTGACAATGTTTACTGAAATTGCTGGGACAAACTGTCCCCTCTAGGTGAGAAACTGACAACCGTGGGGGTGGGGGGAAGGTGCACCGGCTCCTTCCCTTGCGAGGTCAAGGAACAAAGTGGTGCCAAGATCTGAGACTGGAGGAGTCCGAGAGTTTAGAAACGGAAAGTCCGTTAAAGGAGTGCAGGTTCTCCCATCTTCTCCCTCTTCACTTGCCAAGAAACGTCCTTGTTATGCTGCCCGGGAGTGCTGGACTCTGAGAAATCACTCCCACAGCCTGGAAGTGAGCGAACGGTTGCTCCAGCTGCAGTGCATCAAGGGAGCTCCCAGCAGACCCTGCCCTCTGTCAGCTGCACAAGTGGCTGGCCATGGGGGACAGAGCTTACCAGAGTTTCCTGTCTCTGCTCCCCAGATCAGAATCAAGGGACTTCTGGCCTCTGGACTGAGGAAGTGACATTCTGTTTTTCAAAGGAAGTGCTGTTGTTGGGGAGTGCGAGTGTGTCAATGAAATCAGACTCTGACTTAGGTCATTTGTGTGGGAGTGGGGGAATCTAAGGATTTAGTCCGTGGTTTTTGAACATGAACAAAGATTTGACATATAGTAATAGGGTAGAGGTGTTTAAACTTTAACGCTCATTGGGGGCGGGGTTCTGATGTGGATAAAATATTTTTATTACTAAGAGAGGGTTTTGTGGTGTTTTGTTTTGTTGCCTGTTGCTGTAACCCAGGCTTGTAATTTCAGCACTTGCATTTGGGAGACAGAGATAGGAGGATCACGGGTTCAAAGCCAGCATAGTTCCAGCACTCTAGGCCAGCTTAAGCTAGATGAGGTCCTGTCTCTCATTCGAACACACACAACCCAGCCCAACAAACAATACACACGCTGTGCAAGTGAACAACACCAAGATGGCTCAGTGGGTAAAAGTGCTTGTCCCTCAAACCTGGTGACTTAAATTTGATCCCCTGGAGGCCATATAAAGATAGAAGAAGAGTTCTGACCTCCACGATCATGCACTCACATACACAATAATGATAATTAAGGAAATTGGGGGGGATTTTTTTGTCTCAGGGGGCATGGTTGCTCATGTCTGTAATCCCAGCACTTGGAAGGTGGAGGCAGGAGTATCAAGAGTTCAAGACCATCCTTGGTTACATAGTGAGCCCAAGGCAGTCCAAACTACAAGACCAGCCAGGGGAATAGTGTCCTGTTTTAAAAAAAAAAAATGCAACTTTCTAATTAGAAGGGAATGTAACATAGTTGAATGCTTGCTTAGCATACAAGATGTCCTGGGGTTTATCCCAGTACAGCATAAACAGGGCTGGATGGCACAAGCCTGTAATACCAGCATTCCAAGGAGGAGAAGGAAAGAGGATTAGAAGTTCAGATCATCCTTGAATTGAAAAAAAAAAAAAACAAGCAAAAATAATACTACTTTAGAAATCTTTGAAACTTTGTTTTTGAAACAGCTTGCAAAAAAATTGACACTGTTGCACTTTGACTCATGGCTACATCAACCCTACCATGTAGATTCTCTTCATGACCTAGCTCTTGAGTATTTTTTAGAACAGCTTTAGCTCAAAATAGCCAAGTTTGGAAGCTTGTTTCAAACCCAGTTTTACCCACTTAAACTCCTTAGCTTTCCTGGTCTTCTGATGACCTCAGCCTCCCCCTTTCACACATTCCCTTTGGCTCCAGCCCCTCAGGCATCTGACATAAGCAACAGCCTGGTGTGACTGGAAGCCTCTCCAGTTGTAGAAGTTCAGTCCTCCTGCTAGAAACAGTTAATCTTAAATAACCTATGCTTGCAGAACACAGCCTCCTTCTACATCCACTAAGTGTCTTGGGGGAAACAGTTGGCTTTTACCCATACATCTTCATATTAGGGATTGAACTAAAGGTCTTGCCTGTGAACTCAAATTCTTGCCTGTTCTGGTCAAACAGTCTATTACTAAATCCCCAGCCCATCCCCAGCCCTTACATTTACTTTTCCTTTTAAAATCTCAGCCAACTGTTTTACATTACAGTTCTGTTCTTGGTTTCTTAGAAGCTCAAATTAATTAGACTCAAACTTAGAGATATTTCCCAGCCAGATTGCTATGTACATAACCCCTAAATAGCTGCTGTGATCGGTATACTTAATAGTCATGTGGTATTGTAAATTGATGTGTCTTCAAGGGTGCATCAAGCATCAGAGAGAGAGAGAGAGGAGAAAGTAGCTTATTAAATACATGACAGTTTAAGGCTGTTTTGAAAACATAACTTTCTAATTTGTGGGGAGAGGTAGGCAATAGGGAAAAATACCAACTCTGAAGAAGCTATGTTGTTAGGGATGTGTTCTGTTGTTTTTGTTCTGTGATAGGGTCTCACCCTCAAGCTGGCCTGAAACTCACTAGCCTTGAATTTGGGGTAATTTCCTGGTTCTCTCAAGTGCTGGTATTGAAGGCATATGCCGCCACACCTGGATATTGGGTTTTGTTTTTAGGGACTTTTTTTCTCATTGGATTTTCTAATTGATTACCCATAATAAAGGACAAATAAATGATCTAGGGCAGCAGTGCTCAACCTGTGGATTGATAAATCTTTCACAGGGGTCACATATCCTGCCTATCAGATATTTACATTATGATTCATAGTAATAGTAAAATTACAGTTACGAAGTAGCAACGAAATAATTATATGGTTGGGAGTCACCACAACACGAAAAACTGCATTAAAGAGTGTAGCATTAGGAAGATTGAGAACCACGGCTCTAGAGAATATTTGTTATGTGTCCTAAAGAAACTGGGTGGGGAGAAGGAACATACTGAGTATTATCCCTGGTACATCATGGGATTACACTGAGAAGTTGACAAAATAAAGAACATCATTCCCATGCATAGCTGTGAGTTCACACATGCATGAGAACACATGGATATATGTACTTAAATGTTTTGTGGAGGGTAGACTTACAACATATAAGGCATTATAGTCTATTATAATTTCATAGTGATGCAAGATTTGAGGGAATAGAAGATTGGTCACAGCATTGCCCCCTGGTGGTTTGTTTGAAGAAAGTTGTGTTGGTTCTAATGAACAGCTGCAGGAAGCAAAGAGTAACTGTTTGTTCTTCTTTTATTATCATTATGAAATATGTGTATTCCTGGCTTTGGATTAGTTGACTGACCCATCCCTTCAGTGTTTGCTGATGACCTTGCCGTCTCATCACAAGGAAAATCGATCAGGGTATGGCCATCTGCACAAATCACAGTCAAATGTCCCAATTTACTCAGTGTTTCCATGATTTCTTTCCTTTTCTCCTTCTCTGAGAGTAGATGAGGTGCTCCACTGTCAGAGCTAATTCTACTGCTTGTTCTTTGGCTCATATTCTCTCCTACCTTCTCAGACAATTCTTGCCCCTCTTGGCAATTTTTAAATTAGTTCTTTGAAAACAACTTTGTCCAATGCATTTTGATCATAGTCATCCTTCCTTCGTCTCTTCCCAGATCCAGCCCCTTCCCTACCCACCCAACTTTGTGCCCCAGTCTCACCCCAAACCAACAAGTCTAATGTGTCACCCATATAAGCCTTGATATGTGGCCAGGCACTGGATTGAAGGGTGCCACCATGGCTATCTTATTGATAATTTTAAAGGGCCAGCTGTTTTTTTTCACTGATTTTATCTATTGCTTTTCTGTTTGCAATTTCATTAGTTTCTGTTCTTTATTATTGCCTTTTTTCTAGTAGCATTTGATTTATGTATATTACTTTTCTAAGTTTTTTTAAATGTGGGAGATTAAATTATTGATTTGAGACTTTCCCTCTAGTACTAATATATGCATTTAGAGCTATAAATCCCCTTTGAGGGTTGTATTAGTTTATTCTAAAATTTTTAATAATTTATATTTTCATTTAGTTCAATGTCTATTTTTTACTTCTCTTGAGACTTTCTTTTGATAATTTAGATGTATGCTGCTTAGTTTCCAAATGTTTAAAGACTTTCTTATTATTTCTCTGTTCCCAATTCTTAGTTTGGCTCCATTGTGGGAATAAAATACATAGTTTGTTGAGATTTATTTTATGGCTGAACATGGGATTTTTCTGCCTTTATGTTTCTTGACTACTTGAAATGATGTTTATTCTATCATGAAGTAAAGTAGTCTACAAATGCCAATTAGATCAGGTGTCACATGTATATAATACTAACACTTGAGGTGATAATGTAGGAAAGTTATGACTTTGATAGCTACAGTTACATGGAGAGTTCGAGAGGTCAGCCTAGGGCTTCAGAGCAAGA